AAGAACAAACACTGGAAAATTGTTGAGTTCTAATATGAGACTCCTGTTCTATGGTTATACAGCTGTTAAATACTTCCCTGCTTTCATTGATTTCTAACTATAGCCAATTCATTTTGTTAACAAACGATAATCATCATTACAAAGTCATCATACTGTTAGATATATTTGTTCATTGTTATTTTTTACGTAATTACATTTCTTTAAATTTATAGTAATCCATAGGTTCAACATATATATACGTGGAGATTGTAGATTCTTCGGTTTATTATGAGCGATCACTCATAGCTGAAAGTGTCAGAATACGTATTAATGAATTTTTACATTTTTAAACACTTATGACCAGTAAATTTCACGTTTTGGATAGTTTAGAGTGGTAGTAACAAACATTGACAAGACTTATCTATTGATGTAATTTATTTAATGAGTAGAAGAAATGATTGATGGAAGATGACTGTTAATATTCGTTTCCAAAGGACTGCATAACTTAATTAAGAAGGTTAAACATTGAAAATGTATCTCAGCTCAAATTTTTTTTCACTCTTAGTAATACTGAACTCTGAACATAAAAATTTAATAAAATATTCAGCTCTTGGTCATAAAAATTCTATAGAGGAGAAAGACAGACTGTTTAGACAGTTTCCTTGTTGAAAATCATTTAAATATTGTATGTATTTAGAGTTCTGTGTGTACAAGTTTATGAAGACTGCTGTTACTGATAGATGGTCACGTTTGAACAGCCATACGACTGTGTATTGCCTTGTTTGATCTGCTGGACATATTAATCAATAGGAGTTGAAACAAGATGCAAAGGTTGTGCCTTATGGGTTTAAAACAAATATACCATTCTCGGCATGGTTTACTCTGCAGGTGACGTCTTCTCATTAGAGCTTCCGGAATTTTCTCTTGAAGTTGTCCACTAGTGGGCACACGATAATTGTAAGTGTAGGGTTTTGGAGAGTGTTAAATCTCATTGAAGTCCTGAACCCTATGCTAACACTTATCATGTGCTCGCTAGTAATTAGCTACAAGAGGAATTTCCCAGAGTCCTAGTGAGCAATCGTGACGAATGAAGTTCAACCATGCCGGATGTGATGCAGTTACCGATCGAAGAAATATATCATTTTAAAAAACGTATTATGGATTCTACAGATATATCTATAAGTATCCCCAATTCGCATAATAGTTTTAATACCCGATAAATGTTGACAGAACAACATGAAAATATTTACCATATTTTTTTATCTCCCGTTCTTAAAACAAGGATCATACATTTAAAGCATCAACTTTATATATCAAACCAAATTTAAAAGTGTCCTGTAATTAATGAAACCAGTTTTGTATATGATATCATAGTAATCAGTTACAGACTGTTATTCAAATTTATTGTTGACTTGGGTATAGCATTTAATAAGTTTATTACATTATAAAATCGTTTCAAATTTATCATACTGTTGTGAGTTCATTTCAGTTGTCTAATAATACTAATTTTCTCATTACAAAATCATGAATTGTCTGTTTTAATTGTGATCATTGATTAATTTAGATCTTTTGAATAGTTTAATTTCATATGATTTTGAGATGGTGGAGAAGATTTGTAACTCAGGTGGATGATTTTGATGGAGTTTTGTACTCTGAGCTGGATGGTTTGGTTGTGGAGCTTTCATCCACAACCAAACCATCCAGCTCAGAGTACAAAACTCCATCAAAAGTTTCATCTCATTTTACAATCATAATCATTAAAACTAGAAACAAAACAGATGACTTTCAAAAGTTTATTCGTAAAATAAATTTGTCGAAAACATGGAATAAACTTGTATAAAACATAACATTTCATAAATGACGTAATCACAGAAATAATCGACAGAATTCAATACTCGAATAAGAAAATTACATCTAATCACTTAAGGAACTGTTATAGTATGAAAACAAAATCCTATTTTTGCTTGAAGGGGCGGCCTGTTTGAGCATCTGGGCTACCTGTTCCTGCCATCTAGATATTTCAACAAGTTATCTATTTTTGTTTATTTTAATATATCATTATGTCTATTAATCGCACAACCTATTCTGCTACGTTTCTGAAAAGTGTACAACCTTTCGTTGTCAAAGTTACAAAAAGCTCAAAAAGAGAGGATATTGCTGGTGGCAATATACAACGAAAAGAATGTACATTATTCAGATGTTCATTTACTGGACTGTTAACATCTAGCTGGCGATCACTCAGTATTTATCGCGAGGACCGATCAAGAAGAAAGAAACGGAAACTTGTTGAAATACTTTGTGCTGAGAATTCTATATTGTACCAATAATATAATATTGAATAAAGCTAATAATAATAATAATAATACTCGAATAAGAAATTTACATCTAATCACTTAAGGAACTGTTATAGTATGAAAACAAAATCCTATTTTTGCTTGAAGCTATACTACAATTTGAAAATTGTTCATATAATTTCATAGTAAAACATATTTCATATAGAAATTAATGTAATTACATGTTTAAGTATTCTTTAAATATACAAAGAAATAGAAAGAATTTTTAAAATCATTTCGTATTATTCTATCTGTTATAAATATTACCGTCAAGTTTATAATGTAATTTGCAAATGTACAGGAAAATTTGATTTTGGTATGTGAGTAAATTAAAAAGAAACCAATCACATTTAATGGCGAAACTCTAGATGAGGTGAAAAAATTCACGTGGAGGATCTGATGAGGATTGTCAAAGCAAGGATAGCGTGCCTACTTCTGAAGAACATATGGAACTCAAAACAATTGTCAATCAACATCAAATACAGAATCATTATTACAAACGTCAAGACAGTTCTACTATACGGAGCCGAAACGTGGAGAAATGGTACAACCATAATCAAAAATGTACAAGCATTTTTATAAACAGTTATCTACGCAAGATACTTAAGGTCGGTTGACCGGATACCATCATCAACAAGCTAGTGTGGGTTGATAAGCCATACATTAAGGAAATCATCAAACTGCATGACGAGATAAGCACTAACTTAGAATCGTGAAGCGAAACGGAAAACAGGAAGGCCAATGAACATACTGCACCGCGAATTGGAAGCAGACATGAAAATGAGTAGCAACTGTGAAGAACTGGAAAGGATTGCACAGGACAGAGTTGGATGGAGAATGTTGGTTGTCGGCCTGTTCTCCTCCACGAGGAGCAACATGCGTAAGTAGGTAAGTAAGTAAATTAAAAGAACTAACTCATGTAAGTAAAGGGTAAAAATAGTAGTGTAAATGCTTCAGAATAACAAAATGAAAAAAATAAACTTTAGAGGATCTTTGTTGTTTATAAATATTAAACTTCTTATATATTTATTATTTGTCAGCTAAATTTATCTATCATTTATTAAGAACCGATAAGTCCTAAATCTGGTTCATTAAAACATGTCATAAAATATCATTCTTATCTTTAAATGTTTTGTATAACTCATAACATTTTTTCCAAGCACCGCCCTCCAGGTTGTATCTTTTCATTTCTGCAGCAATTTGGATGACTACCCCGGTCTCCCACAGTGTACGAACATTCCATGTAACTAAATTAACGGTTGCTCTGTATGTCAGAAGGAGCGTCAGCCTCGTGACTACCGAAGGAACTCGGCTTTCACCATGAGGCATCATAACTCTTCTAAATGAAGACCTTCTAACGCCTAGGGAAGAGTCTAAATGGTTTGAATTATTTTTTCTGGTTAGTGTTCTTTTAGCGAGTTAGTTTTCTACGGGATGGGGTCGGTAACCCCATGCCCCACCCTCCTCCTTTATCCAGGCTTGGGACCGGGAGTAGCCTCAGAGGGGCTCGTCAAAAGTGAATGGACATTGATGGTTCGCTTTATTGCTAAAGACAGCATTTTAATTCTTTATAATAATTTTTCATTATATCTCCGTCTGAATATCAGTCAATTAATTTAGTAAATAACCACCTGATCATTTTAGTTCATTCTGTTAACCATTAACTGATTATTTAAATAACAGTGACCGGACACGTTTATTGTAACAACTTTGACCACTATCCTGAATTCAATGTTTTCAAAATTGTTAAGATCTCTTGGTGATGATCACTTAGTATAATATAATGAACTTTACTTGTTAGCATACATAATATTTATTATTACATATTGCATAATAAACATTTGCAGATACTTAAACATCTTTACACATTCATGTTGAACTCGCTGAATATTTCTGTTTAATAATGCGGCTACATACATCTGTTTGTACGAGATATATATTAAATCTATATTTCACTGAGTAGTAGTTATCTATCAGTAATATATTACAGTAATTTGTTAAAAAACAAATGAATAAACACGAATATTAAACTAGAAGCAATTTTTCAGCTAAATAATTAATTAGTTTCAATAGTTGAAATCATGAGTCAATTGAAGCTAGACCACCAAGGAAAATCTGGAAGAACTGGACGGCCGTTTCGTCCTAGTATGCGACTCTTCAGAAGTGCGCATTCACGATTCTGCCCACCGCGAGATTCGAACCCATTGTCTTCAGTGAGTTGATACCTTACAAAAAGATCTGGTTAAACCCCACTGGTCACGGCTTCTCACTAGAACTTCAGGAAATGCCTCTTGAAGTCAATGTACGGTGGCGCAACTTTGTGGATTAGTTGAAATTAGACACTAACACCTTTGGATGCCGACTCAGTGGTGTAATCGTTCAGCGCTCGCTCGCAAGACTGACGGGTCCTGATTTAGAATCTCGCGGGGGGGCGGGGTCGTAGGTGCGCGCCGCTGAGGAATCCTATGCTGGGACGAAACGGCCGTCCAGTTCCTCCAGGTTTCCATGGTGATCTATCTTCAATTGACTCATGAATTCAACTAGTAAAATTTCTAAAAATCTCCACAAAACCCCTTCTGATAATTAATTAGTATTTAAAATTAATTCGGAAAAAAATAACCCATTCATTAGCCAATGAATATTTAAATAATTAATTATAAATTTTGTAATAAATAATTAAAGACTTACGCAATTTCCCAACACTCTTTACATAAAATATTCGAATTTGACAATGATATTTTGCATGCACAATTTTGACAAACATTACGAATACACTTAATACATCGATACGTCTCTGTTAATGAATTAAATTGATGTAAACATATTGGACATAACTTTGAGAATTTGGATGTAAATCTACGTAACTGTAATGTTGCATATGATCTGCGTTTGTGAACATATTCTAAATGTGACATGTAATCCTCATCTTCAACTGGGTTTATATCATTAGATTGAATAATTGTCGTGTGAGTTGAAACAAAGCCACTACCAGGAACTGCTGGAATTTTATTACGCAATTGGTTCATATTACTGAGTAGAATTTCAGGTTGTAGTTTAGAAGGAAATGATCCAACTAAGTCACTGAAAATCGTGAAAAAATTCTTTTTCATACTTTCTAAATAAAAATATACTTATTAATCTTGTCAAGGCAATTAATTTTGTAAACATTTAGAAAGTTAATTTTGTCCGTTTTCTACATTAAATAATACTTAACTTCTCATTAAATTTAGACAAAATATGAACTGGAAACTGGTTAGGGATGAATTTTAGGCTAACTGATCAGTGAATGGAAACCAATGTTGTCTTTGCCTAATTCATAGTGCACACATACACACACCGGTTTACATAACAACATTTTATACACAATGTTTAGATATTGTCACTTCCTGTCTATCCTGTTCAACTATAAAGCAGTTGTGGAAATCATTGAATTTTTTCACGTTATTCCGAAAATAAGCTTCTTAAGCTATGTCTACATCAGTTAATATTATTAGTTAGATATATGTCGGTTTTTATCATACTTACGGGCAGATGCGTATAAATGTTGTGGATTATAGTTGTTACATAAATATGATATTGTGTTTAATTCTAAATTGATTTGATTAATACACGTGTTTCCTCTAGTCAACCGCGATATGAATTAAGTTTTATCAAAACCAAACAGAACTAAACGAGAATTTTCATCTACAACACAACCAAATTTTATCAGACAATACAAGTAGAGTATTTGGTAAAATGATAAATTTTAAAGAACCTCTGTAAACTCAGACTTTTGATACGAAAATAAATGGAAAAAAATAAATGAAAGGAATGGTGACTTGTCAAGAGAAAACCAAGCAACACTATGACCAAATGCCTCAAAACATAGTCCTTGAATATCAGCAGATGGATGAACAAAATACAAGCAACTGGAGAAACAGTATTTTTGATTTTGAGTGTGACTCCTATACCGGGTAAAAACTGGATGAGAGAAATATGTTAAAACAGTAGGACCGGGAAACCCTACAGGTGTTCGTTCGTTTATCTTAATTTACCTTAGTTTGTTGAATCTAACGTGGTTGGCTTTCAAGGAAGAGGGTGTATTTCCACTTGATACTTTTAGGTTCTTTCAAAATCGTGTTATATGGTGGGCCATAATGTTACCAGCGGTTTTGGTAACTAATTTGTTACAGGGTAATGAGTCACACGCTAAGAAGTGGATCGGCTTTTATTCTTAAACTTTATAATTTATAGATTCCATGGCATTTGGTGTTTGCTCTCTGTCAATTGTACAATTTATTGTTATTGTACCCAGGTAGCTTTTGGTTGTCTGAATAATACAATTCATTGTGATCACATATGTTCTTCCTTGCAATCAGTGTTAAGAAGATTAGGAAGCCTTAGTATTCCTAAAGACATCAATATTTTGGTTTAGCTATTGCACCGAACAAAGTTTGCTTGATATTTGAATTATTATGATACTTCTGTGATACAATGAACTACCAAGGTTTGATGCTTATCAAAGTATGTGACGGAAAGTAATAATATCATTTCTGGGAATCTTTGGTTTTGGTGAAATTCATCCGGTCTTGGTTGTAGAAAGTTACGAATCCACTCATAGTTGCATGTCAAATATACAGTGTTTTGCTTTTATTATTATTGGTTACGTGCAATAATTCCTATACTTTTGAGATGTGAATACTCAAATGTAAGCTTTGCATTTTAGGATTCTGAATTTTCAGTTTTAAAGATCTTTCCACCCTTGTAATTTCAATTTATTCAATATATGAAAGCTATACGTAGCGGGTAAGACATTGTTGTTTTGCGAAGTACGAATGAGCTGGGAGCATCCCTCATAGAGTCGATTTGCGGCATGGGGAAGAATCCTAAAATATTTATTTTTCCCTGTGACTATTACCCTGTCTTTTCTTCATATGTCTCATCTCTTCTGTCGTTCTCTGTATATACGTATATCCCACATTTCATTTGGCTTGCATGCAATTACCATCACCGGACTGTTTATAACCACTGAGACGTGGTCAACTCTTAGACGCTATTCAGGTATAAACCACAGTTTCACTCTTGCTTTACCCAACATTTTAAATTCCGGCTTCTGTCATATTAAGCGTTTGCGTTTCTGATAGATCGTGATTGATTCAACTGACTGTGTTGCTGGACGAAGGGGTGTTTGGTTCCTTAATTGTTGCTAAGGTTTATTGTTTTGAACAGTTAATAGCTCAGTTTAAAGTTATTTAAATGGTGATGTTTAGGCTTTTCTGGAATGGGTCAATATTCTCATGTTCTTAGAAACCTCGTTGCTAAGTAATTATTGCACATTCTTTATGTTTAATAGCTGACCGTACCTAGAAGATCTTACGTGATTGTTCTCGTAACAATGACCTTACCTAACATAAAAGGCATTGTTCGGGCATATTATAAATCATTTGTAATTAGATTTGTTCATTCAGCAACGCACATCCATATTGACCTGTACAGTTTTCATCGTTATTTTACAGAAAATATCGTATGTTATCGATTCAACTGTGGTGCATCACTGAAATTCCTCCCGTTTGGGCCCTTTTTAAATTGCCGACAGTTTCACGTTATATAATGGTCTGTTTTCTTGTCTAAACTTCTTCAAGAAGTGCAAGCAGTGTGTGTCATTGCAAAACAACGCCGTCAACGAGCTGGTTGCATCTACCGGTCGTATTTTAAAGATCACCAAATCTTCTAACGCTGAGGGTTTTTCAATCAAAGAAAAAACTCAAACGACACGGGATGACATTACCGGACTCTGTTGTACGCTGACACGTAACCTACGGATTCGTAATGACCGTAAACGACCACAAACCCTTCAAAGGAGTTTTTCACGAAAGCTATCTGTCTCTGGACGACGAGAGACAGAGATCCGCGACTGGTCTCGCTATCATAATCACTACGGAAAATCTGCTCGGAATTGCAATGTTACAAACTTTAAACCGACCGATATGAAGAACGTTTCAGTAAACTTCCCAGCTGGCATGCGTTAACGGCAACCGTAGCCGGCGAGCACTGACGTCTGTTATCAGTCACTGATATGACTACGAAAGTTCGCTACCTCATTGATACTGGCGCCGAAGTTAGAGTTCTTGCAGTGAATCCCAGAGACCGATTGCACACACCGGTTCTAAACTTACAGTCGGCAAACGGAAAACCGTACATCACATAGGGCGTTACTGCGGAAATACATTAGTGAGAATGAGTACATTAAAGATAGTGAGACCCTTGAATAGGCCAGTTCATGGCAAACGATTAACTGATGAGCGTTGGTCATCATTGACCTTGACGAGAATCGATGGTCTGTTCGATATTCAGTGACTCATCTACCAGATAGTTTGGCTACGGCTCTGTGACATATAACTGATCCTACAAATTCTCCTCAAGTTTGATTGTTAGACAACTTCAAATTTCTTCGTTTCTTCTATATGGATAATGACTGAGAAACAAATTCTGCGTACTTCATCATGAATAGGATTGACAAGAAGTTCGCCAAGTTACTGATCCGACCTCATTACTCGCAACCTAAAATATCTCCATCTTTAGACAACAACAGCAGCCTTAACACTACAGGATTAGAAATACCAACACAATGTGGATAGTTAAAAGGGCGACATGGAGAAAATAATTACATCAAAACATTTGACAACGGCAAATGAGTTATCAAGCAGATGTCACAAGGAACAAAGATGAAACACTATCAAAGAAAAACCAATAAGGATTTAAGAATTATGCACAGAAGAAAACAGAAGCAGTTGTGTTGTCAACCTGTCAAATCAACTGTCGAAAAGGAGCACTAGTAGGACAATCTACATTAGGGCTGATTGCATAAGCGGTAATGTAGGCACTGGAAGCCTTGATTCTTCCAGAGACCAAGCCAAAATTGTGGATCTGTTATGAACACGGCACATTTCTTGTCAAAGAGGATGAGCTAGAAAACAAACACGATGTGGTGAGCAACGCCTTCAGTGACAACAATTTCGGAATGAAACAGGTCACGAACAATAAAAAATCATTCTTGGATGTCTGCATCACCGAAAATGACACAGGAGCATTACTGGACAGTCTGTTAGTCGTATGTGGAGAATGTCGAATAATCTACTTCCAACTGAAGTTTGAACTGATGCTGTTCAGAAGAGCATTGAAAGCTCCACGATCAAATTTTCTTGTTCAGAAGATGGAATTGAACCATAATCAACCCGCTGAGCTATAAATCTTTTCACAATCATATGGCCTAAGAATTGTGATTACAGAACTTCTAAAACCAAAGAGATATTAAAACATTGAGGTCCATATGCATTCGCCGATTCAAGCGGAATTAGACCTACATTCCTTATAAGATAGGTGACATGTGACTTTCTTATAGTACTATTTATAAATGTCAATTTGTCAGTGGTGAGCTACTTTTTGATTGAGAAAACAGCATGGTTGAGGATTTCTATATCAGGATTTTCACAGTACGATCAGATCCACGTATCACTCTGCTCATTCCAGTTATCGTCTTCGACACTATGAAGGCGAATGAGTTATTGTCGACGATCTTTATAGAAGTTCAAACAAACATAATTGTGAACTAATTTCAAACAGCTTCTCAATATTTTCTTGAATCACATTTTATATCAACGTGTTTATCATGTTCTAATATCACAAAAATAAATTGTTCTAGAAGAGCATGATTACCGAAGAGTACTCTGAGTAAAAAAGACTACACTGCCTGTTTGAAGGTAGTAAGCTTTAGTCTTGCTTGGTAGAGATGCATAAGGATAGGCAATTTGACGAAATCTAGTATCTCTAATAACCCTTCATATTAAAGATTTAGTAGTGTATTTTAGTGAATAACTACATCTAAAGTCAATGTATGTATGATCACGTCGTTTCATTAGTAGTTTAGAAGTAGTTCTTAACAACATGAGTGCGCCTCATATCATCTCAGGCTATTTTGCTGTTAGTTTGTACCTCAAAATTCAAGTTATTGTCTTTATTTGTTACTGTATTAAGCATTTTCTAATAATTGATTATTGGTAGACAGAACAGGGAGCAAAGTACCGTAAAAAGTAAAAAGTGAGCTAGAAGTTAGGTTGACAGACTGCATAGTATGCTGAATGGATGTTAAAATTATCATCATACATTATAGCAGCTAACAATATAACTCATGCAAAGGGAAACTACTTCACACCATTTCGTACATATAAAAACTTTTTCATTGTCATACGAATACACAAAGGTTGTTCGAAACTCACTAGATTCTCTCGTTATCTGCCTTCTTGAGTGCTTGATCCCTTTGCATAACAGATCTCAGGTGATTAACTTCATTTTCAGAAACTGATGGGTTTGCTAGGTAGTTGTCTATCCATAGGCGTGGGTCTTCATACTTTGAAGTCATTTGAAGCAACAAAATATCTTTCATTTTATTAGATTCTATGGTCATATTTTCTATGCTTTCCTACACTTTCGAATGAAGCGCAAAATTGGCGTTTTTGTGGGCTGAATAATTTTGAGGTTATCATAGTTGTGCTAATATTTTTGAAGACTGAGAACAAAGTACTATATATCGATAAATACTTTCATCAATCATGTTTACAGCGACATTAGGGAAAATGTGTTTATCTAAGTTAACATGTGTCCCTTATACAGGTCCTTGCTAGCGGGCACTTTGGATTCATTGTAGGTTTTGTTGTAACGTTTGGATAAAACGTGTAAGGTCAGATATTTTTAGGATGACAATATATTTGTCTCTACGTGAATTTATCGTGTACTAAGTATTCATGAAGACACTAAACGTACTGTATGTCTAGTTACTGTGTTTATTATTTAAGAAATCAAAACATTATTGTTTTTCAGCGATTTACACCATTGATTTACAGTTGGCTCAGTTTTTGGCTTTAACCAAAGTTTGTATACGTGGCTTGTACGTGGTTGAACTTTATGTTTAGCTTCTTAAGTAGTTTCTGTTTAATTTGCGAGATTTTTTTCGCAAGTACTTTTAACAGTACTTTGTCCGAGTAAATCTGTAGCAGGCTATCATGACTTTGATTTTCGGTGATTTTCATGTACGTTCTAGGATACTTCTATTTCTACCTAGGAGTATGGCGGCATTTACCAATTTACATATTTGTAGGTTTCTTTTCAGTCGAAATTGTGATAATTTTCAGTCACTTACCAACCTCCTGTTATATTGTCGTGCAAGCATTTCGCCATGTTTCACGAAAAAGGTTGTTTCAAGGATGTGACTAAGATTTCCAGACAGTTCATAGAAATGCAATCGCCTTCTGTTGTTTTAGATTATTTGTTATTATCAGAAGTTTGTAGAATTAACGAGTTTGAACTGCCAGATTGTAATCCAAATTTAGGTCCAGAAATATTCGTCTACTTAGTATTAATCTTAGTAGTAAACTCTGAAGTTTATTCTGATTGCTTATTTGACTGACTACCACGTGATATTTTTATTATACCAGTGCAGTGCTATATACCAAGTGTGCCCCCCTTAGAAAACCACCTGCTTCGGTTTGGGCATCCGGGCAGTATCACAGCCCTCACACATATCAAATGAGATCTGTGTGCCCCATATGTATTTTGTGCCTCTTTGTACCAATATCTATGTGTTAAAATAAATCAATAAATAGCGCGATATCTTAATGAGGCGACTTTATTTGAACTGCGTTCAATGTCTTTTTAGGCGAATAATGTGACAACTCAACTCATAAATCTGAATACCTGTAGCATTAACGACTATGATGGGTTTAGTGAAAATGTTGATAACGGTTCAAATAGTTGTTTAATTCAAGTGGCATAGGGACATTATAACGTACGTGTAAATTAGGTGGCGTGTAAGTTGATATGGATTATAAAAATGGAAAAACTTGACTGTAGAATTAAAAATTTTAAACATGACTTATAGCACTACAGTTGGGAACATGATGGTGACGTTATTGTAGTTAGCTTAGTGACATTTATAAACATATGTCAATGGTAATTAAAACTAAGAAATGTCAGAATAATGCTTTGTCTGAAAACAACACACTTCAATAGTAGTATGTTGTCACATAAAGCTTTTAAACACACTTATGTAACAAACGGTTTTGGAAGTGGTTTTTATAAAATAGATGTGTATTGTCTAAGCGAAAATATACAAATGTTAAGAAATATCGTAAACAGTAAATCACCCAGCAAAATAGAATAAGCCTGCGATTTATGGACGACCTTCGGACGACACTGAACAGATTTTAAAAAAACTACTTATTAGGGTCAAAAATGGGTTATGAGTTACTATGAGGGGTCAGGATTAGGAATTGAAGTATGGGTTTTCATCACAAGCCCATATAATTTATAGTGCCAAAATGTTGTTTGACCATTTGGATCAGTGAATCCATTGCTATAAACCAAGGTTCTTCATCTTAAGTCTAAATGTCTCGTCCTCAAATTATAGTCTTACTCCACTCACTGGTCATAGTATTTACAACACGTTTTATGTATTGGACCAATTTTCAACATTATTTACTTTTAATTAGTTTTTTTATAACTTTAGTGTGAAACTAAATAGTGAAATTTGTTCTCTCAAATGGAAGATCCTGAACGACATTTCGACTGGGATCATGGATTTCCTGACATATCTCCTATTTCTAACAACACATCTTATAGCTCATTCAGAGTGAATCAGTCTCTAGATAAAAACCTAGGCATGTATACTTTGCCTGAATTTCATAACGAAGATAAGGACGAATTTTTTATTTATGGGACGTGTATATCAGTACGTGGAGAGCAGTCTGAATCCCGACCTGACTATATTGATGAAACGGTAAATGATTCTCCAGTTCTTCCAGAATATACATCAAATGTTGAGGAAAGTTATAAGTCAAAAATTAATGAATTGCACAAACAAATAAGAAACTTAGAGGAGGAGGCTAGTCAAGTTCCTATTCTACAGGACAATTTACGTTATTTGTATGAAGAAAACGTACGCCTTCATGAGAAAGATGAAATTAAAGAGTCTCATCGATTTCAAAACGGTGAACACATTGATAGCACTGATGAAGAAGTAGAAGAAATCGTTGAAGAGGAAGTCCGAACATATAAAAAGGCTCCTAAAACTGACCCTGTTGCTAATGACCTTCCTAGTCCAAATCACATTGGTAACTTGAATAACGGGATCGATAAGAGCCAGTTTCCTTCGGAATATTGGTCTAAACTGGAGTCGTACTTCTACAAACGCTTTTTATCGGAACGACCTTTTACTCATAAAATTGCCATGCAGTCATCGGAAGCTAATAAACGCACCACAGCTACTATGGCTTATCCTATCAAATCGTCCGAATTTAGATGCGTTGGTATCAATGTTTGTCCATCCATTCAGGAAGTTGGAGTTCTCTGTTCACAACCAGAAACACGCGAATTTGGCTGCCTTTTTTATGAAACCGAGTCGATGACTAAAGAATGGTTGAATCGAGTTTTCCCAAAAATGGAAGACAAAAATAAGAAGATTGTACACAAAGTTATACGAAGCTTTTATGAAAGTCGTGAAGAATTTGTTAGTACTCTGTTATCAATTATTAAAAAGTCTGTTTGTCACGTGGGTATTCAATCTCAAATGGTCAGCCAATCTCGTGGTTGTTCACCTATTCTGAAGGAAATAGAAAAAACAGTCTCGAACCCGAACTTAGTCGGTCAGTCCCTTCAGTCACAGGTCTCTGAGTTTGTCCAGGCCATGCCTGTTTTAAACAGTCGGTGTACTATGACAAAACGTCATCTGGGTGTTAATGCTGGATGTCTAACAGAGTCTCCCGTCTTACGTAGTCAAGGTACCTCCCCAAAAAAGGATTTACGAAGTTTTACTACATGTGGTGTACAATACGAAAGCAATGTGGAATTGGTTCATAGGGCTTGTGATCCAATATATCCTGAACTAAAACGTATCGCATCATCAACACAAACACTTGAGTGCAGCAAAATGGTCACTGACGTTCCTTTACATAAAAAGGATATCATAGTAAAATCCTACCGATCTACAGAATCCTTTGAGGTTAGTCGCTGTTCTCAGGCTTGCTAAATATATAATTTGTATGCGTCTTGCATTAGTTCTAATTGTTGCATTGTTTTGTTTAAGTATCGGTTTACACTCATGCTCATCTATCTAAATTTTAATACAGATGCTGAATCTCTTTTTGAAACCCTCCGAATCTGCCCATTTAGCGAAGTATCCATGTACATATCGAAAGGCACTTACCTTGGTTAGTAGTATTATTTACCCCACTATATTGTTCTGAGACTTCTCGTACAGGTAAATAACATGAGATTGTAAACATCCACAAAGACGGAACACTTGATGTGAGGCGTGTATCATACACGCTAATCTGCTTCATACTATGGACAATAGACATGTATGACGATTAGGATCTAAATATGTTAAGGTTGACTAGATCAGAAATTTCGTTAACATGAAATTGTTGACTATTGTTACAGGACTTGTAGGTAATTGTAAGCTGCTAGAAAGTATCACAGCAGAACAAATGGATCGTCCTTTCTTCTAAATCTCAAAGTCTTTACTATCCTTTAGCATGTCGTTTCTGTTCCGTCTACTATTTTTATCCTTTTGTTAAATCTATTATGTTACAAAGCGTGGTAACTTAAACCGTTCCACTCTCTTACTGTATTCTTTATCGTTGCACGTATCTGTTTGAATCCCGATCTTCTGTAGAGCTTGTTTTGTTAAATTTAAACTACTTTCATACATGCATTTCCTGTGTCATTAATTGCTTTATGAAGAACCGGCACATACCGTTACACATATATGACACTCACCGATTTCCAATATTGGGATCTTGTGGCAAGACTGACAGTAACTGAACTTGTGACATGGCTTATAAGTCTATTGTGATGGCTCGTATCCATCCATTCTTTAGGTTTCAAGATAGTGTTTTGCTTTTTCCTTATTTAATTCCTTCTTTCCGAACCGTATTTTCTATGTTTGATCTTGTCATCGTTTTTGATACTTTTATTCCGACTTGTGCGCAATTTATCTTGTTAATTTTATGTCTCTGTTGAAATGATTTATTAACTTGAGGTGATGAACATTTGTATCTGGTTGCACACTGATTATGACTGATTAGTAAACACTGTGATATAAATTTTTATTTCTCTATAGAATTGAAGAATAATTTAATCGACATCGTTATCCACTCATATCAAGAGTATGTATATTGATTTCGAAGTAAACCATTATTCATTTAAGTTAGAAATAATCCAGTCACTAGACGTAAAAAAATACGCTAAGTTACGTTTCAAAGTGCCTAATATTCAGTTCCTACAAAATATCCGCCGTCTTTTAACGATATAATTATTTACATAACTTTTTCGATTTTCTTGTAGAAGACTGAAAAACTTCCGAGTATTCAAGAGACAAATGATTCGAATTCTGTTTGCATTACTAGACCATCGAGATGTGATTCTCCAAGGTTAAGCCAAACAATGATTCCATTATCGAGACTGCCTTCATGTACATCGAGTTATTCTGAGGGTTATACTGTATCTACTGAAAGACGTATGGTCGATGAACTTTCACAACGTTATATGCTCTCGGATAAAGTAAATCTAGATGAACTAAGTTCTGGTGGGCAGACTGCATTCCAGGATGTTATGTCAAAAAGTGTTGATTTAGGAAGTACTCATGTTATAAAAGAATTCCAACCAACCGTCGAAGTTTTTCATCATATCGGTGATGAAATTGAAGAAGTTGATCCTTCTACTTTGCCAGATGAAATGCTATCCCCATTTCGAGTAAATTCACCTCCCGGGTTTCCTCTTTCCCCTGATTTTATTAATTTGAAATCTGATCACAGAGTGCGCCATAGTTCCGGTTTATCTAATCCATTGACTTCTGATCCTCCTACTACGCCACCCGTATTAATACCTATTATTCATGGACAAACTGCAAAACTCCCCGAGTCAGTTCCAAAACCATCATATTCCAAGTAAGTGTCTTCATTAAATCCTCATTCTCTTGTCTCTCATTTTTTATCATTATTAAGGTATGTTCTGTTCGATAACTGCTACCATCATCGCGATATAAATAGTACTGTGATCAAAAACTAATTAAAGTTCTGTTACAGGCGTTCAGGCCGTTATCCATACCTGTTATGATTATTTCTTGAGGGATTTCAAAACAACTCAAATTAGAAGTGAAGCCTTTTTGACCTTATAGAGCAAACCTAAGATATATTGAATAAGAACTTTCGTCTAAATTTGAACGAATAGTTTCACAATATTTGGGCGCCGAGTTAATTTGAGACATTAAAAAGAAGAATATATTTGTAAAATCTCAGCGAATGAATTATAAGTAAATCCAACATTTCGCCTGGCAATCTGGTCCAAGCTTTTTCAAGGAAAATATAATCAAACAACAAAATTATCGAATATAAATAGGTACATGGTTCTTCGGTTTACTGTATACTGAATAAGTCATCCAATCGACGTGAAGGATTTCTTTATAAATAGGTATTTGTATTAATGTGTAAGAGACATGTTTATATGAAAAATAATAAAGGTCAAACCAATAAAATAAAATAAAAGTTCATTTGAAAATAATCAAGGGGAGAGAAAGAATAAGAAATTGTCATGTTATCCTAGGCCATAGAATGACTTAAGGATTATAAGGTAAATTCAAGGTTATGACAAATTGTTTTGTATGTGTTATGGAACCAAAAAAAAACGTGTTAAGACAACATAATGTGTTTATACGCAAGTGATGTGAGAAGAAATTTCATTCAACTTAATATTGACTACGGTCTGTGTATATTAAGAAAACAAATCATTTTTATATATGAAATGAATCAAAATGCCACAGCCTGCATTAAATGAAGATAAGTAAACGAGGAGTGTATATGTAATTGAAGTGTGTTATTATAAAAATGTTCCAGTCAATTGTTTAACATATTCAGATAAGATAACGGATTTGAATTATTGAACGTATTATCTATCAATTAGTTACTATGGCATAAATATATCAAATGGTAAAAAGGAGATCAGGTTTACTTATTAATTATTAGTTGCCATGGTGCAGCTAGTTGTATTCCATCTCTCCTGTTAATATTGTTTAAATTAGCCCATATATGTAAGGCTTCGGCTGTTAGTCTTTCTTTGTAAGAATTAAATCCTTTTTGAATGATTCTCGTGCCATTGAAATCAATTGTATGACCCGATTCAATTGAATGTAATGCTATCGCTGATCTGTTCTCAAGCTTTTTTACATCAATTGAGGATTTAGGAATATGCTTTAAGCACAGTTTGTGTTCTTTCACCCTCACATTCAGTTGTCTTGATGTTTCACCTACATACGTTGCATTACAATCATTACATTTGATTTCATAAACACAATTTTGTTGATCATCCTTGTGTATTGGATCTTTGATTCTTACTAGTTTTGATCTTAGAGTATTGTTTGTTCGAAAGAATACTCTTATATTTTGACGAATTAAAATCCTTCTGATGTCTTCTGAGATACCTTTACGATATGGGATCACTACTGTATTCATCCAATCTTGCTTAACTCTTTTTTCAAAAATATCATTCCGTTCTTCATTCTTAATTATTCTTTTAATAAAACCTTTCGGATAATTATTCATTAATAGAGTGGATACAACTAAATTCATTTCCATTTTTATATCATCTGGTTCAGTGACAAGTTTTTTGACTCTGGTGATCAAATTTTTGGCCACTGTCACTTTGGTCGCGTGTGGGTGCGCAGACTTAAAATCTAAAAATTTTCCTGAATATGTAGGCTTACGGAATATATTAATTTTTAAAAAATCATTATCCTTCCTTTCAACCAGGCAGTCTAGAAACGGTAATCTGCGTTCAGTCGATTCCAACTCTTTAGTAAACTTGATTTTGTCATCTAAGCTGTTGAACTGTTGGAATAGTTCGTCTAAGCCATCTCGTTTTATGATGACAAAGGTATCATCTACGTATCTTACCCAAATTTTTGGTGGAATGGAACACATTGAGATAGCAATTGTTTCCAATGAATGCATGAATAAATTAGCCACAATTGGAGAGACAGGTGATCCCATAGCCACACCTTCTGTTTGTCTGTACAAAACTCCTCGAAAAATGAAAACCGTTGAATGTAAGCAAAGCTCCAACGCTCTAATAATGTCTGTTGGGTCTAGTCGGCAACGCTGTTTAAGTTCAATGTCAGAATCTAACAGATTATATACAATATCTAAAGCTTTTTTAATAGTAACATTAGTGAACAATGAGCAAACATCAAAACTTGCCATTATTTCATCATCTTCTATCCGAATATTACTGACCATGTTTTTGAAATCATTAGAATTTTTTATTCCATATTTTATTACGCTTTCATATGGTTTAAGAATTTTGGCCAAATATCTAGAAAGATTATAAGTTGGTGAATTAATGTAATCAATCACAGGTCTTAGTGGTACATCTGTTTTGTGTATTTTTGGTAGGCCATAAAATCTACACGGGTTATTGCTTTTTGGATATAACGAGAACCATACATATGATCCTAGTTTGGGCTTTAAATTCTGTAACAATTTGGCCGTTTCAGCTTTCAACTTATTTAAAGTAGCTCTACATCTGCTCTTCATGATTTTTTCATACGGTCCATTATTGAGATGTTCATTGACTTTTCTTTCATAGTCCCTTGTCTGCTTTCATAATAACAATTTTTCTGTCTTTACGTAACTGTTTTAGGGAGATATTTGGCGTATTAGGTTTTTGATTCAAAATTGCAGCTGCGATTTTAAACCGCAATGAATTTGCCTGATCATCCGGAACATTGCTTAAGACAGGCTCGATCAACGGAATAATTTCAGAAGCCGAAATCCGTGTTCTGTTCATATTGAAATTGAGACCTTTTTTAAGTATTGAAAGTTCGTGTTGATTTAACTGTCTATCCGAAAGATTTACCACTATTTTGTTTATATCGAGTTCCTTGGATTTAATTTTATTCTCATAATTGTTGGATTTCGACGGATGTTTAAACATTTGTTCAAATTTTCTCATTTGACGTCTTTTTGTGATTTGGTTATAAAAGTTATCTCTATGTTTCAAAAATTCATTAACATTTGTTTTTAATTCTGGTGGTATAATTAGTGATAACGCACTATCAATGTTTGCTATACGTGAACGTACCTATTTATATTCGATAATTTTGTTGTTTGATTATATTTTCCTTGAAAAAGCTTGGACCAGATTGCCAGGCGAAACGTTGGATTTACTTATAATTCATTCGCTGAGATTTTACAAATATATTCTTCTTTTTAATGTCTCAAATTAACTCGGCGCCCAAATATTGTGAAACTATTCGTTCAAATTTAGACGAAAGTTCTTATTTATTATTTTGCAATCGCATAAAATTATCGAAGAAAATGTACAATTGGTATAACCATCGAATTTTCAATCTACGCTGTTTAAACCAGCATGTTTATCCAAAAACACTAAGAGTTAAGACTCCAGACAAATCTATACGTTCACAAAAAGCAGCTACTACAGCTACTAGAGTATTCCTTAGAGAACGTATACATAAATCCACTTTAAACTTGGAATCCCTACGTTCACGTATAGCAAACATTGATAGTGCGTTATCACTAATTATACCACCAGAATTAAAAACAAATGTTAATGAATTTTTGAAACATAGAGATAACTTTTTTAACCAAATCACAAAAAGACGTCAAATGAGAAAATTTGAACAAATGTTTAAACATCCGTCGAAATCCAACAATTATGAGAATAAAATTAAATCCAAGGAACTCGATATAAACAAAATAGTGGTAAATCTTTCGGATAGACAGTTAAATCAACACGAACTTTCAATACTTAAAAAAGGTCTCAATTTCAATATGAACAGAACACGGATTTCGGCTTCTGAAATTATTCCGTTGATCGAGCCTGTCTTAAGCAATGTTCCGGATGATCAGGCAAATTCATTGCGGTTTAAAATCGCAGCTGCAATTTTGAATCAAAAACCTAATACGCCAAATATCTCCCTAAAACAGTTACGTAAAGACAGAAAAATTGTTATTATGAAAGCAGACAAGGGACTATGAAAGAAAAGTCAATGAACATCTCAATAATGGACCGTATGAAAAAATCATGAAGAGCAGATGTAGAGCTACTTTAAATAAGTTGAAAGCTGAAACGGCCAAATTGTTACAGAATTTAAAGCCCAAACTAGGATCATATGTATGGTTCTCGTTATATCCAAAAAGCAATAACCCGTGTAGATTTTATGGCCTACCAAAAATACACAAAACAGATGTACCACTAAGACCTGTGATTGATTACATTAATTCACCAACTTATAATCTTTCTAGATATTTGACCAAAATTCTTAAACCATATGAAAGCGTAATAAAATATGGAATAAAAAATTCTAATGATTTCAAAAACATGGTCAGTAATATTCGGATAGAAGATGATGAAATAATGGCAAGTTTTGATGTTTGCTCATTGTTCACTAATGTTACTATTAAAAAAGCTTTAGATATTGTATATAATCTGTTAGATTCTGACATTGAACTTAAACAGCGTTGCCGACTAGACCCAACAGACATTATTAGAGCGTTGGAGCTTTGCTTACATTCAACGGTTTTCATTTTTCGAGGAGTTTTGTACAGACAAACAGAAGGTGTGGCTATGGGATCACCTGTCTCTCCTATTGTGGCTAATTTATTCATGCATTCATTGGAAACAATTGCTATCTCAATGTGTTCCATTCCACCAAAAATTTGGGTAAGATACGTAGATGATACCTTTGTCATCATAAAACGAGATGGCTTAGACGAACTATTCCAACAGTTCAACAGCTTAGATGACAAAATCAAGTTTACTAAAGAGTTGGAATCGACTGAACGCAGATTACCGTTTCTAGACTGCCTGGTTGAAAGGAAGGATAATGATTTTTTTAAAATTAATATATTCCGTAAGCCTACATATTCAGGAAAATTTTTAGATTTTAAGTCTGCGCACCCACACGCGACCAAAGTGACAGTGGCCAAAAATTTGATCACCAGAGTCAAAAAACTTGTCACTGAACCAGATGATATAAAAATGGAAATGAATTTAGTTGTATCCACTCTATTAATGAATAATTATCCGAAAGGTTTTATTAAAAGAATAATTAAGAATGAAGAACGGAATGATATTTTTGAAAAAAGAGTTAAGCAAGATTGGATGAATACAGTAGTGATCCCATATCGTAAAGGTATCTCAGAAGACATCAGAAGGATTTTAATTCGTCAAAATATAAGAGTATTCTTTCGAACAAACAATACTCTAAGATCAAAACTAGTAAGAATCAAAGATCCAATACACAAGGATGATCAACAAAATTGTGTTTATGAAATCAAATGTAATGATTGTAATGCAACGTATGTAGGTGAAACATCAAGACAACTGAATGTGAGGGTGAAAGAACACAAACTGTGCTTAAAGCATATTCCTAAATCCTCAATTGATGTAAAAAAGCTTGAGAACAGATCAGCGATAGCATTACATTCAATTGAATCGGGTCATACA